ACTGGATGAGCTTCGGGGATCAGGAAGGATCTCAGGTGGTGCTGACCGGGTAGGGTCAGGAGTGTTATTGTGGATGTGGTGTCTAGTCTAGCGTTTTACTTGCGTTCGAAACCTCAGTTCAGACGACCTTGGTAACTGATGTAGCGTCTTGGCCGTGCATATTCTTAGTTGACTGTTGCGCGATCAATTGATCTAAGCCTGGGTATACGGTTGGTCGGGCATGTTCTTGTTTGATAGTTGTACGGTCAATCGGGCAGACCTAGTCCGGATTAGGAAACGTTGCATTCTGGGTATTTTTCGGGTGAAGCTGGTCGGGTTTCATACGGGAGTGTTAACCTTAGTAGGACGGTGTTGTGCGATTCGGGTGTGATCTCTAGTGGTGATGGCCAAGTTTGGTTAGGTAGTTGAGACCGTAGTGAGACGGTGTTGTGTGATTCGAGGTTGAATCCGTATTAGTAGGGGAGCATTGTAATGATCGTGAACCAAAATGTGTATTTTTGGTTGGTGCGTCGACCGACACACATGTTTGGACTCGCAAGGAGTCGGGTTCTGGGTGTTGCGTCAACCGACGCAAGTGGTGAACCGACGGGTTTGGTTCCAATTCTCGGGTTGGCGGGCCGGTTTAGGAAGCCCTAGGGCTTTGGTATAAAAGGAGGAGAAGCCGCGTTTGGTCGGGTTTTGGGAGAGATCAAAGAAAAATAGTGAGTTGAGAGATGATTGAGTGGGATCGAAGGATCATTGTTGATTTCTTCGTATTCTTGATCCTGATAGCTCGTTATACTGATTTGTTAGGCTGTAAGATCGTGGTTGATCCGTGTTCTTCGTGGAGGAAGAAGTGAATTCCGATTCTAGGGAGTAGAATCTCTATTTCGTCGAGATCTTTATGATTTTCATCCTTTTTCCTTTCCAGAATCAAGGTCCGTGCATGACCATAGGCTTATCTGGGTAAAAGAATTGATAGGATACAATTGTGTGTTTGTTGGGTCGATTTTCGTGTTGTTTTTGTTGGATTTCTAGTGCAAGATATCGTTTCGGCGAGTTTTTGGGTTCGTATGTCAATCGACACAACTGTTGTGTGTCGATCGACACGGTCTAGGGTGTGTCGATCGACGCCGTCAGT